CAAAATATTTAGACTTTCCTTTTTTAAAGATAAATTGTTTGAAATTTGTAACTTCATGGACTAGCATATTTTTATATCGTTAGTATTAAATTCCTTGAAGTTACTTAAGAACCGCATAATAAACCTTTTTATATAGCATAATATTTATTCAAAGGAAATAATTCAGCTTTTGTGGGGCATGGCATTGAAGCCGGACTTTATGGTCTGTTGTCTCTGGAGGCCAAACTGGCAATCGAGGCCAAAAAGGGCCGACTTGGCCTTAACTTTCCTTTGATGGCTCATTTGAAGCTGGGCGAGCCAAGGGATTATTGTGTCCTTGCTCATTTAAGTTTGCCTTAAAAACTTTTGCTTCATTTGCTGCTGAAAAAGTTGAATAAAAACTTTGCTAAGGCTTCGCTGGCACCCCGTTTTTTTTTCTCTCATTTTCTCTAAATTTCTCTGGCTCATTTCTCTTTTGAAGGTGCGACGCAACAACCCTTGCAAAAAAAGGGGGAAAAAAGCAAAAGGAAATACCCCCGGCGACATAAACGTTAATTGTTGTTGGTCATGACATAAGAGCCACCATGAAAATGGCCAACACAGGCCAAATGACATTGCTACCAAAATACCAAAACACAACTTTCGCTATGCATAAAGTGGTCTAAAAGGGGGAGAAGGGGGGAACGGGACAGTACAGGCAGGACTTTCCTAATGAACCTGCAAGGATATGCGGCAAATTTAACGTCAACTGAAGTCAAGCCGAGCGAAAAGGATTGGGCCACGTTCCTGCAGAAGGCCTAATCAAAGCGACAGCTGAAATCCGCAAAATCACACTCACACACTGCCAAAAATACCCACACATTCGTACATATAAAGTTATGTATGTATACACACAAGAACAAGGTCAAATGGTAGAAATTTCACCCGAATTATTTCCGGTTGAACGATTGCCTCCTTTCTTCTGTTGGCCAGCAAATCGCATTCGACTCGAATTTCAAATCCAATCAAGGGAAAATAATTTTCACTTTACTGAACTGCAAAATGAAAGCATCCAATGCGCTTAAAGTATCTCCCAAATAAATAATTAAACTTCAGTTCTAGCTTAAAGTGTTTTCGGTCTGATTTTACTTTAGGTGGATTGCTTTCTAGGTCTTCTGATTGCCTTAGTTAGGATTTTTACTTGCCGCATTTTCGTTATACTTTCTGGGCTTCTTTTTAATCAGGCATTTTATTCTTTGGGTACATGTGTGTACGAATTTTTTATGGTTAAAGTTCTCTTATATATACATTTATTATATGACAATAAACCATTTTATAATATTTTCTTAGCCTTACTCTACTCCAACTCATTTTTTTTTAGCGTTTTTATGAAACCTACATGTTTTTAAAACTAGTTCTATGGACTATTTCTGTATTGTATTCTATTTTTTAATTGCAAAAATGAAACCTTTTTAAAATACTTTGTATACCTAGCTCTATTCTATCGTTTTTTTTAGCACTTCCATGAAGCTTATGTGTTTTAAGCCCCCATTTTATGATTTTATGATATTTTCTAAGCCGTCGAATGAAATGAAACTCCAACTGATATAGACACCCCGAATCTAAAAGCGTTCCATGTGTTTGCATAATCCAAATGACAGCTCAAAAAATGAGCTAAAACCGAGAAAAAAGCGGAGCAAGTGAAGCAAAAACTGAAACAAAACCGATTCAATGACAAAAGTGAACAAATGAAAACGTAATGGAAACCTTACATGAAAACCCATTAATCTTGGCTCTGACGCAATTCGCACGCAGGTGAAAAGCGGGGGGAAAGTAGGGGTAAAGCCGGGTGAAAGCAGGGGTAAGGCCAGGGGGAAAGCAGGAAGGTTGGGGATCAGGGGCCATAAGGAAGATTAGCCATGTTGTTGTGCAATGGCCAATCAAAATCCGACCAGGAACACATGAGATGATGGCGTCAGTTTCCTTTCAGTTCCCGTTCACCTGTGGCTTTTCCACACCCAACCCCACCCAATAAATATCACGATTTGATGGAGGAATTAAGAGAGTAACTGCAATGTTTTATAACATCAGCGAGGAATGACATAGCTATTTATATCCCTTTGTTTAGAGGTTGTCTTTCATTTCATATATAAATCTAATTTCAGTTGATGTGGCTGTGTCATTTGGAATTATATGATAAATCTATAATGCTGTTCTGGGAAAATATAAAAATAAATAAACATTTTCATTGTTTGAACATTATTATTGAAAAGTATCAAGTTATCACGCATACGCAGTGTGGTTCATTTTCATTTTCCACGTGGCGTATGTGTTATATTTATAACTATGTTCCATCAATGTGATATCAACAAAAATCAATACTTTTAAATAAAAACCTAGATATAATGGACGAAATGATAATAACACCCGATATATTGTTAAATTAATTTATGGGATCTAAATAAAACCCGCGGTTATCTATCATATATTTCATGGCTGACTAACAGCCTCCATTAAAATCATTCAGATATGGTTTCTCCCTCGATTTTGCCTTCCCGACAGGATCATTTGTATAACTTTGTTGTATTACCACCCCACTTATCGTGCGACTTTTGTCCACCTCCTCAAATTATTTGCTTTTGCTCCTTTTTTACGCTCGAAGGACGAGGACAACAGACAAAACACTCCCATGTTGATGGGTGGAGCGAATGAAATTTAAAACCGAGACGCCTTTTTAATGCATGTGTACTGTGTGCACGTCTTCCTTAGTGGAATTAAATTAATGACAAACAATTTCTCATTGTCTTTTCGCTGGTGCGTACTTAGCACGCGCCGGAAATGTATCCATATCCGTTTGAAATTTTTCCATTGTTTTCCCGCTGCACACAGAAAGTCGTTGGAGCGGCGATAAAGAGGTCCTTATGCACTTGGAAAACGATATTCGATTAATTTTTAAAATCCGCTATTGACTTAAACTAGCCTTTAAACTAAAAACATCATTATTATGACAGAAACTTTCATACCCCCAAAAAGGAACATATCGTTCAGGATCATTATACATTTTACTAAAAAAAATTGTTTGTTATAGTACTAATTAAATATTTTTTAAAATAATAGCAGTGTTTAAAAATCATTTAAAAGTTTAGCTTCACTATTTATCCGTATCAAAATGATAAAAAAAAAATTAAGACGTATATGAGCAAGCAATGCCAATAAAACGGAAAGTTAATGTTAAAAAATGTGATAAAAGAATTATTTAAATATGAAAATTTCAATGTTTTATAATAATCAGACCACAGTTTACAAAAAAACTGCATTAAGGATTTGTTTGGTTTAAAAAACAACGTCTCTTGTTTTAAGTGGATCAAATTATAAATTTATTGAAAAGGTTGTATCACTTTTTTGTCACTGTAGAAGCCGTAGAAAAGGGGTGGTAATTCAGAAACAACAAGGCCTGGGACCAACATCAAATCGCCCTTAAGTGCCGGCAGTGAAGCTCCGCTAACTGCGAACGACCAACTGTCGAAGGACCGTCATTAGGCTCACCACTTGGTTAGAAACTAGGATGCTACATTAGCAGTCGTAAAACTTATGGCCAGGCCCATTGCCAACTATTAGCCATCATTGACAGCTGTGTCCTAGCAGCAAGGACATCATGTCCTCCGGATTTTCTTAAATTTGCAATTTCCACGACCAGTACTACCGAACTTTGATGTAAAAATACACGACAGTTAAGGCTTCAAAAGCTAAAAACTAATTAAAAAATTCATAAAACTGTAGTTTGACTAAGTGTTGGTAAAAAATTTCGATAATATAAACAGGATAGAAGATATGGGGTTGAAATATATTTATTTTGATCCTTAAATCTTCTTTAAAGTTGGTTGGGGTCACATTTTAGTGTTATCTTAGTGCGCACCTCTTTGATCAGTTTACTTCTTGGGATAACCCTATTTCAACCAGGACTCGTGCTAGGTTATATGTATCCCTACAATTTCAAAACAATACCAAACTCGGGACAAAGGAAAATTACAGCTTTGGTCATCCTCTAAAACCCACTTCATTTACAAATTTGCAGGGAAAGAAACCGCAAAGTCCTTGTAATCATTTGAGAAATTGGAGTGTTGCAATTCTCAGTATTTGCAAGCAAATTATTCAAAGCCTTGGTCTGAATCGGCTTGCGGTTTTGGTTATTGCCTCCTTAGGAATATACATTAATTTCGAAATTACCAGTATAGTACCAAACAGATTTCAAAATGGTCAGAAATGAATATTATAGTAACAGTTTATGTTGCAGCGAAGCCCTTTAGTTATTCAATTGAAGTTAAATGTAAGCAATTAATATTTTAACTATACCCTATGGAGCTTAGCTTTGGTGAAATAGAAGTTATCCTTTAAAGTTTGCTATTCTTTAACGTAATACAAACTAAAAAAAAAATATAGTTTTAAATAAATTACAAATGAATGTAGTTTTTAAAATTTAAGTTCTTCTATTTTTCTAAAGGAAAGTTTTAAGAATATCCTAATCTATAACAATTTTGAGGTCGTTTTGAAGTTCTCAAATATTTTGTGTTGGCTAGAAATAAAGGAACTGAAAAAGCAGAAGGAGTTTCAGCAAAGCAGTCATTTCAATGGTCTTAAAACTTGTTCTTCCCTCCGATTTGTTTCACCATTAAACGTTTCCTGGCTAATTTTAGGAGCTTGGAAAGTCCTTTAAATAGTAAGCCATTAAATGGATTCTATATTAAATCCTATGGTAACCCAGCATTTTAAATCCCTGGCGGACAGCTGGGTATTTTCCCTCGCCGGTTACATGTGCTCCAACAACGAAAAGCAATTGAAAGCAATTTCACTTTTATTATTTAACGAAAAAGCCCCCCAAAAATGTTGGCCACCCCAATGTCATTTATTTCGACTAACCAATGATAAATGTGAATTTCTTTCTTCGCTTTCGTTTGCATTGAACTGGAAATACATTTTGGCAGGCAAGCGAATGTATAAATTACCGGCAAAATACACTTTTGAGGAAGTCAAAGTCGACTCACCTGGCCATTTTGTGTTCTTGAAAGCTTTCTCCTTCGATGTGAGTTTGTTTGTCCTTGGCTGCGGTCGCAATTTCAGTTGAAATCGACATGCAGGATGATGATGATGCTGATGGGGGTGCTCCTGTCCGTATCCCTGTTCCAATTTCTGATCCTGATCCCTATTCTGTGTCCCAATATCCAGATGAAAGGCGGCCAGCCACTGGGATCGTTTGTCTCTGTCTAGCGGCCCTGTTGCCCTCTCTTTCACGGCTTCCAAAATGGTTGATTGAGTTTGAGATTTATGCCTTAAGTGCTGCTGGGGGATTTGTTATCTTGTCCTTTTTGGCCTGGCCTATACGCATATCGTTTGTTTGCCTTGCTTTCTATTCTGAGGCTCTGATTCCGCTGGAAATGGTAGAATAAAAACAGTTTTATAGTTGATGATGATGCAGATGGTGATGATGATGATATGATGATAATGTTGCTCTGCGGCTTCCTTTTTGCTTTCAATTTACATAAGCAGCAGCATCATTAATATTGCAGATGCGTGTGTACTTACACGAATAAAAATAATGGGTCGAAATAATATCGAAAAAAACCATAAAACCATAATTTCAATGGACTACAGAGAGTTTTTGAATTGTTCAAAATAAACCTTTTTAATAATTTTTTTAACTTTTATAGAGTTTTTTAAAAAATGATACATGCTAATATTTCTAGTTAAACTTTATTATTGAACTTTGGCTCATTATAATATATATAAAGATTTACATTTTCTCCTTAACTGATTCAGTCTTAATAAGAAAGTTCTTAAGATTTTTTTACGTGTCTATGCGTGTCCGTTTTTGTTTGCCTTTGTGTTCGCTTTGAGCACTTCTGTAATTTCATTTCCATCCTTAACAAATTTAGCTTGTTGCGGACATTTATCATACGCCCTGTGTGCCATGCGTTCTTCCAAACATAAATCACTCACTTCTCCCCCGGATTCTTCGCCCTTTTGGGGCACTGGTTCCCCTGCTCAACATAAAAATGACCAAATGCAATTATAATTCGCAACTCAAACAACTTTTAATGCCAACTGACAGCTGCCCAGAGTCCGCCCATCGATATCCATCGATGTGATTTTGTTGCGTTGTTCTATGTTTTAGTCGAATGTTATGGGTTGAGGTATGATTGATTGTTTAGGCCGGATTGTCCAGCAAGTGCGGGATAGATATTACTGGGATTTTCCTGAATCAGAAAGGACATGTACAATATACAGCCGTTAAATGGGTTAGGGATTAGAGTGAAGTATTGTTTTAAGGTAAATATTGAAATGTTTGTCAAACAATGTAATAATTTGACTTTATTGCATACCAAATTTAAATATATCTAATTACAAACGATTTTTTTAACTATAGGTATTTATTTGCAAACTTTAATAAAGAGATCCACAGTTAAATAAATATTCTAAACGAAATACCGCATGATTTTTAAACTATCTAATAGCTGCCGTCTTAAGCTTAATAGTTTTGATTTAGTTTAAGTTTATACCATCATGTAAGCATACCATCATCTGATTTAAAGGCAAATCAATGTTACAGCAGTCGGAACAAGAGCATGCCCCACTTAAACAGAAGATGTGCCATATAAGGCCCAAAAAACACGCCCATTACCAGAACTCTTTTACGGCAGCCCCGCCTCCTATTTGTATTCCTTTGGGAAAAGGCCTCGATAAGGGAGCAATGGGATGGGGCGTGTATTATCAGCTGTTTCCCATTATGACTTCAGCGGAAATACACAGACGAGTGGAAAACAGTCGAGGAAAAGCGGAAGCAAAATACAGACAAAAAAGAAAAGGCCGCCAATGGCAATGCAAACACAGTAACACACTGAGGCACGCAAACCGATAAAAATAAAAACAAAACCCATGGAACGAGGGGCAAAAATTGGAACTAAATGCGTATACGTAATGTGATAGAAGCCGCCTGGAACCCCACACCCATTTCCGCCCTCAAAAAGAGGAATACGGATTGATAGAGCAGGAGGAAAAACAATGGCGACGTTGACGACGACGTTGGCACTTCTCAAACAAACTAAAAATAAAGGCTAAACATTTGGAACGAAGCTTTAAATACCGATTCTTGGTAACTTGTCTACGAATTTATTAGGCCATACGACTTAAGTCCCTTAAAATTGATTAAAGCAAATCAAAGTTAAGAAGGGTTCAAGGCTACATTTGGGTCACAAAAGAGCTTCAGAACTTCTTGGGAAATAATATTTCCAAGAGTCTAAAGAGTTTTTAACAAACTTTTCTAGTTATAAGTAACTACTTTTAGGGACCAGAAATAAAAGTTACTTATTTTGTTAAAATAATTATTATCATTCCTGAAATGATCTAAAACAATTTAACATATTTTGTAATTGGTAAAAAAAACAGTCGAAAATAACTGTTATTCGGAGGTGCCACACAAATATCTTAGGTTTTCACATTCAAAAATAGTTTTAGGTGTCTAAAAGTATGCAGTGAATAAAGGATTGTCGTCTATCTGAATGAATTTATTGTACTTCTGAGCTTAAAATATAATGCTGCATACTTTTAGACACCTAGAATGACATTTTACAGTAATTGTAAAGTCCCAGAGAATTTTGGGGAAGAAAAAACATCATTTTGAGGTTTAAATTTAAAAAAATTGTCTAGAACTAAAAAAAATGTTTTCAAGATGTTAATAGTTATTTTCATTCCTTTAAAAACCACCTTAAGGTTGTATTTATATTGAAAAAGTGCCAGCATAAGGAGTGGTATTTTAAAAAAATCCTAAGGCATTTAACATATTTTGTAGATATATGTAAATATCTATTTATCTTAAAATGGTAATACCCACGAAGAGGGTACTAAAAAGGCCAACAAAGAGCAGAACCGACGGGAAAAACAACTTTTCGTGGAAAGGCCGTGATGAAAATCGAAAACCAAGAAAGGCGAAAAACAGAAATGCTAGGAACCACACACACACACACACACTCAAAGCTACTTAAGCCCCGACACATCGCACACATTGAAAGGAGGGGAACCCCCTGTGGCAGCTGCCATGGCGAACGAGCGAAAGAGACGGCAATTGAGAGTGACAGAGATGGGGCGAAACAAACAGTGGGACACAGAGCTTGTCACTTTATTGAGCTCGATTTCAATGCACTGCCGACTCGGGCATATTAGTATGCAAAACTGATAATCAATAGGCGACGGACGACTCAATGCCCAGCGCTCAGTGGAGATTATGGGGCAATTTGCATACGGGCATGTGCCAGTCGAAGATGTCGCCATTCTTATCCCCAAAAAAAAACCCACTGAATGTGCCCTGCACATTCCCCACAACAAAGGACCAACTGCAGTCGGTGTCGTTTAATTGAGCCAGAACATCGCAATTGGCCCACTCATTCGCTAACTGACAACAGACTAATTTTTTGTTGGCCCTAATTGAAGTACGCGAATCTGACACTAAAAAGCTTTCACTGCTACTTTTCCTGCAGCAATGGAGTGTTAGATCAAAGTTCTGAAAAGGGGGAGGAAGTGGCTCCTCCACTCTTTAAATCTTCAGTTAACCCCCCTTTTTAGCATCTAATCTCATCAAATATTTTTATGTCTTCATTAAGCCACTTTTATTGTATTATTAAAGTTCTGAAAAATGGGGAAGTAGTTTATTAATCAACCCCGTTAGTTGAACTATCTAATATTTTTATATATTTAATAAACCACTTTTATTATATGATAAAAGCTTTAAGTACATGTTGCTATACAAGAAATCACAAAAATCTTCGGAGTAAACTTGGTGAGGATTTTAATGATTTTAAGGGAAGGGTTTAACTCTTATGTTTTTTCAAAAACTTAAATTAAGAATTAAAATAAAGAATAATTGGTTAATAAATTTCCAAATACCTAAATATATAGAAACGCATCAAAAACGATTTTAAACATACTTATAAAATTGTTATAATATATAAGTTCAAGCCAATATAAGATCAAAGTGCAAAAAAAAATCAACACTACTAAAACCCATAATGGTATTAAATTCATTTTCAATTTTTGGAGGGCAGACCTTAAAACATTTTTGCCAAATACGTTTCACTAAAAGGAAAGATACATTTATTTATCAACAGCTGCAGGTGTATTTCTATATCCCTTGCTTTCTTAATATTTATGAAATGTTTGCCAGAAATAACATAAATATGAAATGCTATACCTTTTTTCATTGCTACCTTACGACCTTTTCCGTGAAATTTTCAATAACTCTCTCGGGGGATTGTATGGTCGCAATTTGCAATTTATCATCAATTTGATGTGCAAGGGGCCGAACATAAAAGCGGTCCAAATGGTGAATGTAACAAAGGGCAATAAAAACGGATATGGATGAACGGGGCTACCGACTATCCCCAACCATATCCACAAGCGTAAAGTTTGATTTTACAATGATTTCTGGTCAGAAGCTTAATGCATTCACCTCAGAATTTTCTGAGTCAAGTGCACCTGCTGCTTCTACACAAAGAAAAAAATCGCTATCTTTGACAAACTCGTAAATGTTTAAGGAGTGGTTTGAATTACCATTGACATGATGTATCATTTACTAAAGAAGCAATTTAATTGCTATAAAGTGTTTTATTTGAATTGGTTTTTTGATAAGCTTGTTTGATTTGTAAAAGGCTAGTCACCAAGTCATTTATAATGGTAAATATTAAGGTGTTACAAAATTAGTATAGCTCATAATAGCAGGGTTTCTATTATTTTATAGATTTAAATAATACATTTTAGGCAAGGAAACTCAATGGAAAGGTAAGTTTTGAAGTAAAAAGATGATATAAAAACTTCACTTTTATATAAATAGATTGGTATAATGTATATATATTATTTTTAAAGATGATAAGATTAAAATAATATAAGAATCTCAACAGTAACTTTATATTTTTTCAAAGGATAGAGATTAAATCATTTTTTAAATACGGTGTTTAAATTCTTTTTCTTAAAGTAACCCCACTTCACCACCCCTAAAGAACTATTGTATGTTGTATTAGTGGAAAGCGTTGTAGTATAATAGATGTAAATCTATAGATTCTGGATGGCTCTTAGTAACTTGATTAGAGGAGTAATAGTCAAGGGTATTTCTTTCTCCCAGTGTTTCTGTACTGTATCTTCAGGGGACTAACAGAAACTATAGCATACTTATGGGCCGCTAGGAGAGTTGCCATAAGACGCTTAATAACTGTGAGTAGTGTCAAAGCAGGGGCGGTGGGGGCAGAGGGGGCGTGGCAAGGACATGGACGGCGAGGGCGAATTGAGGGTCCTACGTCCGATGTATGTACGTGCCAATGGCCGTAGTCGCAGTAATAAACACACGCACAGCCCAGTTAACACAGAAATATGCCCCAAGTGTCAGGGCGGGCAAAACATGCGATGATGAGTGGGGAAAAGCGGTGGGGAGAGCCCAAGGAAATGGGAAATGGATTTTCAGTGGCCTTTTGTTTTTGTTGTTTTTTGTTTCGTTCTTGTTTTCCTTTTCTTGTTTTTTTTGTGTTTTATAATTACTCTGATAGAGCTGGTTTCTGAGTGTATATGTGTTGGTTTCTGTGTTATGGTAAGCACACATAACGGTAATTTAATTAACATACATAAACACACACTCACAGAGAGAATGTGGCACAAAAAGAAAGGTGAAAGGTTGGGGGGAGGGGAAATTCTTTAAGGCACTTACAAATCGTTTCCACAAACTTTTTGGCTTTTTGTAATCGATATTTAACGCGATTTTAATTTAGACATTTATAACTTCCGAAAGCACTTGATGTTTTTTAATTATTTGCAATAATTTTGATTACTGATTTGATCAACAAGCAGACACATACTAAGGATATATATTTATTGGTAATATTTTATTTATTATAATTCAACTACTTTTTTTTTTGGTTTGTGTTTACAGGTTTCTTTTCTTTGTATTTATTTTTATGTGGTTTGCCGCCGGATGTTGCACGTTTTGCCACCACTTCCGTTTCCTGTGCTGTGCGAGCGAAACCAACCGTCGAGAAACGCGTTCCGCAAGCGAATAAACAAAGGGACTTCCACCGCATTTTGCTCGCATTTCCACGGCCAGTGTTGCCGTGCTGCAAGTCCTGCGCAGTTCGAAATTGAGAGGGATTTCTTGGGGAGAAAGACTTTCTTTACCGCTCTCCTCTCTAGCACTCTCTATTTTTCTTTGAAATGCAACCTGCTGACGGAACATCTGTGTTTTTGTTATTATGCCTTCGTCAGCAGCAACAGCAACAATTGCAGCCATTCAATTGCATTTGCAGCAAGTGAACATACAGGTATTTCAATTATAAGTAGTCACTCGTGTCTCGGGGTCACAGAAAATAACTGCCGACTAATTGATGGCCCACAAAAGGTTTACTGTCGATTCTTGATTGACATTTAAGGGGACTCGGGGCTACAACGAAAAAGGAGGGTTTTCGGCATCCGAATATTATTTATGTACAATGTACATACATATATAAATAGTTCATTTAATATCAGTCCATCAAAAGAAGATATACAGGGTATTTAAAAATACTTAGTCATTTCTAAGTAAAATTTAATGAAGAAGAAATCACAAAACTGAATAATAATAAAAAATAATAAAATAAAAATTAAAATATTTTTCATAAGGAAATTAATCAAAAATGTAGAGAACATGTTTGTATTAATATAAATCATATTTAAATTACTTAGTATGATTATTAAGTACTAACAGTTTTTTTCCGTGGGTTGTGAACATGTTCCTTAAAACCATTTAAATTTTAGTTGCACATTTGCTTTAAATCTTTAAAGACTAATAAAAAAATCGTATGGTGATAGCGATTATTTCCTGAAAAGTATTTAACTAGCTATCTACTACTATCTACATACTAAAATGTATAACACTATACTATATAAAAACAATAAACACAAAAAAATAAAAAACATTTTAAAAGTTCTGGTTCCGAACACAAATGTATGGGTAGGACAGCTCAAGTACAGAGCCTTTTTTGCTGAACGACTTGCACACCAATGCAGGAATGAGTATCTGTGTGGACTGTGTGCCTCGTCGACGGCTGCCTAATGTCAAGGTTTTTTGGCTGCTGCTTAAAGTGCAGCCGCGGCAGGAAAAGCGGAAAAGGCAAAAACAGCCGAAAGAGAACGGCACGTGGCCAACCCACCGAGGGTAAGGGGTCGATTATGCCATTACCAGGCCAATGCGGCACCTTGCCCCCCGGAAAAACCCCCCCTTCCAGCCTGTGCCTCGCATGAATGAGCAAAAATGTCGCGACAAACCCGATTCGAAAGCCAATGTCAAGTGCACGAGGCAGCAAGGATATGCAGGCAAAAGCACTTCACATGCACCATGATACCCCACTGACAGCCCAACCCCTTCTGCTACACCCCTGACCACAGTGGAGGTCCTATAAGTAAAATCGTTAACTTAAGTATGCCTTTTTATATCAAATAATTTTAAGTACTCAGTATATTATCGACTCATTGTATGATCTTTCTGAAAATATTAGAAATGACATATTAAGTACAAAGCTTTTAAATACCAATATATTATCGCCTCAATGTTTGATCTTTTTTATATAGTGTAGGGGTAGAAATAAAGATAAATATTTTTTTAAACTAAGAATTCCACTTAAAACTTGAGAATAACATAATATTTTTAAACTTACAAAATATTAAAAAATAAAGGAATAATTTGTAATATCTTCCTCCTTTATTGATAATTATTTTTGTTTCAACCCGAAAAATAAAAGCTGAAATTCCACTTAGACAAGTCCGACTAAAACACCTCTGGAAACATTAGGACTGTGGCTCCTGTGACCCCCAAATAGTATGGCACACTCACGTTAATGGGCGTGTATCTATATTTTATGTGCCATCGATTGCAGTCATTTTTCGTCCTTCTTCACCTATTTCCCTCACACTCGAAATATGTCTCATGTAAAACGACCCCCGGCAGGACATAATGCATTACCCCAGGCAGATTCCACTTAAGCACCAATTAGACTAACTAAACACATCATATTTGCTAATAGCAAACAGCAGGCATATTTTGAATTGTTAATTGAAATATACACTTTAGTTTACACAAGCATTGTGGTTATCTAACGAATTTAACAGGCTTTAAATTTGACACGTTCGGAATGTCATTAATCAAGTTTTGATGGTCACAATATGAGGGGAGAGGTCTGTAGGTTGGGCCACCTATTGCTTTTCTCCTGTCATTTCGTTATATACCAATTGAAAGCTTGGCATATATACCTGAAAAGCTATTATCCTTAAAACATAGTTAAACAAAAAATTGGTATCCTTTAAAAACATAAAAAAATTTACCAAAAAGGTAAGTAACCTTTTAAAATCAATGAATTTATGCATCCCAAGTGTCCCGAAGTTTAAAAATAAAACTTTTGTGGTTTTAAATTTATTTAATTTTAGTAAGTTTTCATTTAAAGGCTCTTTAAAGGACTCAAATTTACCCAAAATTAAAAAAAATTTAAACTTTTGTGGTGTTTAAATTCGAAGATTGATCGCGAATTCTTGAGATCCAACTCAAATATAGTATTTTCTTTAAGCCGCATCAGCTCGCTTAACATATACATTTTTAAAGACATTTCAGAATTTAAAATGGGATTAAATTCGGCTGAACGGTTTCCCACACACAAATAATCAATACCAATGCAGTCTGCATTGCAGACCTATTCATCAAAGGCAGGTCACGCCAAAAATCCGCAATCCCACTAGAATTAAAAGAAGTGTACAACAAAAACTTTCCTCATTTGATATTTATTCAATGTTGTATATTATTTCATGTAAGTTTTGAACTTAATTAATAGTGATAAACTAATGTGAATAAAATACATTTGTTTTTTTTCGTTACTGACTGACTTTTAGCTGTAGAGGATTGGCTGCTTGACGTAATTATGTATTACTTTTTAGAACTCCTTCGCAAAATCTCTTTAAAACTTAAAACTAAACTCATAATTCAGGCTAATTTCGAGAAACGAAGTGTCAACGCTATCAAAGTGAATACGTTTAAAAAGCTTGAAATGCGGTCATAAATAAATTACATGTGGGTCACTAGGTCTACAATCTACACCTAAGGAAGAGGCCAGGCCAATGGATACCGCATCCGCATCCGTTTACGACCATGTCTTGGGAACACTGAACGGTCCGAATCGCTGGTGCTTATCCACACCCCGTACCGCGAAATAATACCGCTGGTTTTCCTGGAACTGATTCAGCGTGACGGCCATGGGCAGCAGCATTGCGTTGACATCGCCCACATGCCGCCAACTGTCCGTACTCGGCTCGTGGATCGTCTCCTGGTAGGCATAGATCTGGTATGTAACACACTCCGCGAAACGCGGGCTCGTGTCCTCCAGCGTCCAGGAGATGACAATGCCGGTATCCAGCAGATTGATTCGAATGACGGGACGCGAAGGAGGCACTTTCCAGGCGGGATTGAAGGGCTGGGCAGGAGACGAGGGCAGCGGGGCAGGATGTGAGTATCTCAAACGCGAGGCAGCCGGCGGGGTATTCTCCGAACGTATCTGCATGGTCACGTTTGAGCCCAAAGAACTTCGCTGACCTGTGGATGGATTTAATTATTAGTAAGTGGTAATCTTTGGTTTAGTATGATTCGAACTTACCTCCTCCATTATTCTGGACCAGTTGACGGGCATTGACGCGTCCCAATTGCATTGGAGACGCTCGCACCACATTTCCTCCTCCGCGACCTCCTCTTGTCGCCGCTGCAGTCTGGGCACTCCGCTTGACCGCCGCATTGGATGCCTGGCGCAGACGAGCGTTCGCCTCGATTTGTGCTTGGGCAGCCTTTGCCGCGGCCGCCGCCGCTGCGTCATCCTCGTCGGTGAGGTCGATGACCGCCTTCTCCTTGGGCTTAGCCGGCGCTAGGCTGGGCTGCTGCTGCTGGCCGTAGCCGCCGGATCCAGCTCCACTGCCGCTGGCAGATGACATGGGCACCGAGACCGTGGCCCCGGAAAGCGGGGGCGGCATGGGGCGCACTTTCGTTGTGCACTTGGGAACCGGCTTGGTCGGAGTTGTACCTGTGGTGGAACCAGGACCAGGACGCGGTCTGCAATATAAAGCAATTGTCGGTGAGTAAAGTTAAATGATTTATAGATAAGTCGAGTTCATGGTTGCTTATATTTTTATAACACAACGTTAGTAAAAGTAAAACAATAGGTTGTTTTTAAAAATAAATTCTAGTGTCCAACAATATCTTCAGTCTGTGCACTTAAGGCACCATAGTACTAGTACTCAGGAATACAATGCCCGATTTTGAGAGCTACGAAGGTTCATGAGATAACAAAAAAAACAAGGAAGAACGCTATAGTCGAGTACCTCGACTATCAGATACCCGTTACTCAAAGGGAAATGGAGATATGCAAGCAGCAAAGCGAAATTAAAATGCGCCACCTACCGGCGGTAGACAGATTTAAGCGTTATGGGCGTTAGAGTGGGCGTGGCAAATTTATTTTTAATCAATCGATAGGTATTGACGACACCAATACATTTCAGTTCAAATTTTTCATCTAGCATCCAAATTGTGGGCGTCACAGGTTTTCGCGGTTTGTGGGCGTTTAAGTGGGCGTGGCAAACTTTTTTAAGGTCAATCGATAGGTATTGATAAGAACAATACATTTCAGTTAAAATTTTCTATCTAGCATCAAAACTGTAGGAGTTTCAGTTTTGGGCGGTTTGTGGGCGTTAGAAAGGGCGTGGCAGTCTACTGAAACAAACTTGCGCTGCGTAAGAAGCTCAGGAATCTGTACGCCAAATCTCAATAGCCTAGCTCTCATAGTTTCCGAGATCTCAGCGTTCATCCGGACAGACAGACGGACAGACGGACAGACGGACAGACGGTCAGACGGACAGACGGACAGACGGACAGACGGACAGACGGACAGACGGACAGACGGACATGGCTAGATCGACTCGGCTAGTGATCCTGATCAAGAATATATATACTTTATGGGGTCGGAAACGCTTCCTTCTGCCTGTTACATACTTTCCGACGAATCTAGTATACCCTTTTACTCTACGAGTAACGGGTATAATAAACTAAGTCAATATTACATTCGTACATATTGCAAGCCGAGTCGGTTTCATCTTTACTAGTGTTTAAAATGTTATTCGACTTTTTCGCAATCCCTATACATTCCTCAAAATCTACGTTTATTCAAACTCTGCTCTTATCAGTTCCGACCGAATTTATAGTATGTTTTTACTTAAAAGATTAAAAAGTACTCACGTTTGGTATTGTTGCTGCTGCTGTTGTTGTTGTTGCTGCTGTTTCTGAGAAACGTAGGCGGGGGCCGAGTTCCGGTTCCGCATGGCGGCCTTGGCCACCGATGCCGCCATGGAGGCAGTGGTTCCGGTGTGCTTGGAGGCGTGCATGGTCCTCTGACCGCCAGGCGGTGAGGTCTGCATGCGGTGAACGTTGGACTGGTTGTTGGTCTGTGGCACGGGCAGGTTGTTACCAGGTCCTGGTCGCTGGGGCGTCACCTTTTGCAGGCAACCCCTGCGCACAGGAGGCGTGGCAGTACCCGCCGATGCCGGGGATTGTGATGAGTTGGCGGTGGAACGAGCTGGTTGCTGATGGAGATTGGGACTCGGAGTGCCACTTGGGCCCGGACCCGAACCGATTGAGCTTGAGGATGATCCAAAGGTAGGAGGAGGCGGCCTGGACCGCATGGGCGATCGCATCGGGGAGGTGCTGGCCTTGGGAGGCGTTCCGCTGGGTGGCGCCAACATACTGCCTGCAGCATGTGACTGCTCCGGAGCAGCGACCGTCGGCTTCATGGCCTTAAACGGAATACCCACCTGAAGTCCAACTGCTCGCGTAATCCGCACAGGAGCGGTGTAGTGCGAGTTCTTAGCCTCCAGATCTTTAAGCACCCGTTTGTGCACCGTCTCCAAATCGAGGAACTGCTTGGACACCTCGGCGATCTTGCGGCGATACGCGGTCAGGGTGTTCTCGCATTTATCCAACTGCAAACGGATGTCCGCGAAATCACTTTTGACCAGCATTGCCTCGACGACCTTCTGCAGCACTAGCTCCTCCAGGTCATCGCGGGTCATGGTGTCGATGCTGCGGCGGAAGGCCTTGAAAAACTCCAGGCGCAGCGGCTTAATATCCTTTTTAGTTTCCGGGGCAGGTGTGAGCTCAATTTTGGGTTTCTCAACTTCTTCCTTTTTGGGGGAATCTGCTTTCTTTATCTGCATCTTGTCGTCCTCTCCTTCCATATCGATTTGGAGCGTGCCGTCGCAAGAGTCTTCGGAGTCTTCAGTCTTAGGTTTCTTATTAGGAATCTCATTCTCCCGATCCGGACTGCTGTCCAGATGATCATGGCTCCGCTTGGTAATATCTTTCTTGTCTTCCTCCGCGCTACTGGACTTTGTGGTTGTTTCAAGTTCAGCCTCCAGTACGGGTTCTATTTTCTCATCCGTACTAAGACGCACTCGTTTTGGTGCCGACTCTTCAGAATCCTCGGCAGGCCGCAAAAGATTGCTGGAATTACTGTTGCCATCCTCGATGGCAGTGGACTTCACCTTTTTGGGGGTCTTCAGTTTCTCAAACTGATCACACGCATTGTCGGAATTGTCCATTTGCAGGTCTTTGTCCTCAACGGATTCTGCCGTGGAATCATTGGGAAGGCCTTTGGTAGTCGTTTCCTTTACGGAACTTTGAACTTCCTTTTCAAGTTTCTTTTCTTGCGGTTCTTCGTCCTCATCCTCGGAAACCAGGACGACTTCGTCATCCTTCGCTTCTAGTTTTTTAGACTGTTCATTCGTTGGCTCTGTGGCAGTTTCAATCTTATTTGTCTTATCCAGGGGCTCAAAGAAAATAACCTCATCATCAGATTCCGGCTCTTTGGCTTCCTTCTCGACAACAGGTTTTTCCTTAGCCAAGGGCTCCTTATTGTCATCGGTTGGCATTTCGCATATGCCATTTACCTTGGGTTCCTTATCGTCTTCTGATATAACAATGGGTTCAACCTCTGACGCTTTCTTTTCCTCGCTTTCAAGGGTATCCTTGTCCGCCTCCATTAACAAATCGTCTATCGCGGTGTCGTTCATTTCCTGGGTTTGAGTTCGAAACTCCTCCTCCACCTGGTCAGACTTTTTGGGATCTTCTGTTGCTTCACATTCGACTACCACAGGCTCCTTCTCCTGTTCTGATGGCTTGGCCTCTTCTGGTTCTTCCTTTTCCTCTTTATCTTCCGGTTCTTTTGTTTCCTCTTGCTCGTCGGGCTCAACTGCCTTCTTTTCCGACTTTTCTTTTGGGTTTGCCTCTTCCGGCGCTTCTGTTTCCTTGGCTTCTTCTGTCAAGTTGACTTCTTCCACCTCTTCAGTTACCTTTTCTGGAACCACCACCAACTCTTCAGCTTCCTTGACTTCTTCCGGCTCTTCCACTTCTTTGGCCTTTTCGGGCTCTTCTGTTTGCTTGTCCTCCTGCACTTCCTGTAATTCTGCTTTCTTGGACTCTTCGTCCTCCTTGTCAACCAACATGGGCTCTCCGTCCTCTATTAGTACGGACTCTTCTTTCTCTTCGGTTACCTTTGGCTCCTCGGTTTCTTTTGGCTCCTCGGTTTGTTTTGGCTCCTTGGTTACCTTTGGCTCCTCGTCTTCAACTGACATAGACTCCGTGGGGTCTTCAATATCTGTAATCTTTTCTTCCTCTTCCTCAGCTTGAATAGGTTCATCTTGGGCCACATCCACGGGCTCTTCTGAGATATTCTCTTCCACAATCTTTGTCTCCTGGGATGAACCTTTTTCAGGAGTAACTTCCTCGGTATCTTCAGTTTTGTCTACCGATTCCTCGACATCCGTTGGTGTTTCACATATTACACACTCGCCTGACGAGTCTAAATCTATAATGTCTGCTTTTGGTTTTTCTGGCTTATCGACTTTCTCGTCCTTAAGAATATCATCATCATCGGACGAAATCTCCTCGAGATCATTGGAATCTGATTTATTCTCGGTGTTCAGATTTTTGCTTTGCTTTGCTTTCTCCGACTCCTTTGAAGCGATGGCATCAAACTCATCCGAACTGGAAATGCTGTCTAGAGCATCCAAAAACACATCATCCGCGGAGGAGTTTACCTTTGTCCGAACTTTTTCAGTGATATTCACATCATGTGGTTTGGCTTCTTCTTTTTCCTCGGATTTTTTCTTTTCTTCAGTTACTTTTTTAAGATGCTCTTCTTCCGGCTCGTCCAAATCATCGATTTGCTCTGTGGTCTTCTCAGCAGGAGCGGGATCTTCGATGTGTTCGATGTTTTCCACACCAGCTTTATCCTCAGTCTCAATCTCGGAATCCAGCTCCACGCGCGCTTCGTTTTCTTTTGATTCCGATACCTCTCCTTCTCCTTCTTCTTCTTCTATTTCTAAATCTATTTGCTCAACCTGCTTTTCGTCCGTCTCATCAGCTGGTTTCTCCTTTGTTGACGCAGAGTCGCATTCCTCGTTCTTATCGAGTGACTCTAGATCATCCGGATTCCTGGGACTACAGTCCACAATGGAGCTAATCTTGTCCAGCAGAGCGTCCAAATCGCTGCCGGCATTACGTTCCTGTTCCGATCCAGTTATCGGTTTGTCTATATCCTTGATGTCCTTACTATCGACCCCATTGGCCAGCTCACATAGGTCATCTTCATCCGCGGACGTTCGACTCGATTCGTTGACTATTGCTGTAATTAAAAGATCGATATACCCAAATCGTAGTTATCTATTACATTGATTCGCACTTACCAGGGGTGGAGACAGGTTCTACTTCACTGCTGAGGTCTGAGGATAGAGTTCGCAATAAAGCGCCCTCTGTGGAGAGTTCCTTCAGCTCCATGTTCTGGCTTACTTCCATCATTTTTATAATTTTTTTATTTATCAAAGTATTTCGAAAACATTGGGCTGCTGAAAGAAAATAAGAACTTATTTTAGTATTTGGCGGATGTGGCAACTCTGGCGGTGACATGGCAACTCTGTTAAAATCAATGACCTTCGCGGGACCTACCACGCTAACGCCAATAACACAACGCCCCCCTCCCCCCCTTCCACCAGGTTTCTAAGAGATTAGCAGTCTGGTTTTAGGACTCACGAAGAAAAAATAAAAAGTAAAATAGTACACCACATGCTCCCTATAAAAATTTTTTCCCAAAATTAGAGCTTTGTAAAGAAAGCTCTTTAAAAGCTTGTCATAGTTTTCTTTTCTTAAAATGATTAAATAAAAACTTGGGAATTATACTTTTTAAGCGGGTCTTAAGCGAATGAATTGATTCAAATTAATAAGTTCCTATCTCGAGAACTCGAGTTAATTCAAACCAACTTCCTAACACTGAGATAAGCTCAACCCGTAACCCGGGATTATCATATGTTGTTAATGTCTGATAGTGGTACGATCCAAAAAAAACTCCAAAACCAGAAACATTTCTTAAGACGAACAGCTTTTTTTGTTTCTTTTTTCGGATTCGATTCGGTGTGTATCTACCTATAGTCTAACCATGTGTTGTTGTTGTTGTTGGTTGTCCCAAGCGCTCGTCGCTTTCCGAACGCAACAATAACAACACGACTGCAACGAAAATACAAAAGCAAGCGACGATAAATATTCGTGCAAAGGGAAGAAATGTGTGACGAATGGTGCAAAAAAGGGGGGCTAAAGGAGAAATTGACCTGCTACCTTTAACAAAGTGTTCCAAAACGGTAAATTACATTTATTTGCATTTCAAATTTTTCGGTACTAAAAGTGAGGTTATGTTGAGTTAATTGCGTTCTGAGGCGTTTGTATATGTGCAAATATAAAAATAATTTTTTTCGAAGGTTACTTACAAGTTTAAACGTCTTGGGACTCGGTTTTCTATTTATTTCAATTTAGCTACACTTGGAGAAATCAAAATGACTTGAACTTCACGCCGCGTTCCAAGCAAAAATGAACGAGGTGAACGCCAAACCAGCTGACGGCGAACGAAAAAGAGAGCGAAAGAGCAAACAGCTGAGAGCGGTAAAAGCGAGAGGGGCGTATGGGAAAGTGGCAGGGAGATAGCCGGCAGGAGGGCGTGGCTCGGGATGATATGATAAGATTCGGTTTTGTAATTCTACCCGAAGTCCAAGGAAATCACTTTCCCCATCATTAACTTTGCCCTTTCGCAATAACTAGGGCAAAGTAACTATTAGCAGCAAATGTCCCAATTCTCTTCAGCAAGTTGGCAGTTCTCATTGGTATGGTAGTTCATAAATTTTAAAACAATAAATATATGTAAAAAAAAAATCAAAAGGGGGATGGTATGAAAATCAACCTTAAGCAAGAAGGGATCTTCATTGAACAAAACAATGTTTGATAACAACGCAAAAAGCCAAACGTGTAATAATAACGCAAATAGAACGCGTTTTGTTGCTAGCAAGCGGGAGGGTAAGATGCGGACGTAGGCTGTTAGAGCGAGACGACTGTATGGTCGTTACTCAAAGAGGGGAGAATAATTTAAGTAAAGACGATTAAAAATTATACATTTTTTAGTTCAACTAAGGTGCCAACCATGATATCTATAAGCATTACTTAGGAGGGGGCAGTAAAAACGTACATATGCAGGTAGAAGGAGGCAGAGGCTGGAACGAAAAAAAAATCAAAAAAATACACCTTGCCGAATAAAAAAACTTTCAAAACTTTCTGAACTTAGAATCTAGAGTCCGTCCGTCTGGTCTTTCCGAAAGATGCACTTAGGACCGTGGCAGGATACCGGTTTCGTATAGACTTGCGGAGCGAGCGGGACGGACAGAGAGAGCGGACGGAGAGCAATTGCGAGAGAGAGCAAGAGGCCAAACATATATACACGTGGCTATATATATTTGTCTGTATGTAGGAATTGAATAAAGTTCGCGTAGCGCCGAATACCACACGACAAAGATACAGCAGCAGGGCAAAAAGCAACAACTACAGCAGAAAGCAAACGAAAATTGAAGCGTCGTTATGCTATATCTGCTGGTTGAAAGTTAAACCCGGGATATGAGCTCTATTTGGGGAGTTGGTCCTACGAGCTAGGGTTACAGTATCAGAGGATTACGACCTTTTCTGATGAAATTTTTTTTTTATAGATTCCATACCCTACATATACCTACCCGCATGCACACTAATGCAAATGAGGATAAATGTACCTTTTGTTTCTTTTGCAACCAAAAATGACTAACAGATGTATCATCTCAAGAGTCCGATTTTTTTTGCATGCATATGTTTGAACCTGCGTTGGGCGCTATGTCTATTATAGCTGTCTCTCTCTCTCACACACATTTACACAGTACGCCCGTTTTAGCAACGCAGTGTCTGTGTGAATTTGTATGTATACCAAAATGTGCATGTGTGCGATTTTGCACCGCGCTCACATTCTTTTTAGGTTACGTATCGATTTTGGTGCAGAGTGAGGTTAGGTCGAAAAACATCCAAGTTTTTCGATTTATTACGAAATCAAGGACATTTTTGAAATCCCCTTAGCGCCCTCTACAGTTTTCTGTTATTAGGTTTTCCAAAGAAACACAACCCCGAAAAAACTAAAACCAGCAAGCTGCAAGCGAAAGCAAAGCAAAACGGAGCAACGTTTTTATTCACCTATTGTACAATTTTATGTTTTCAGGGTTGTCAGGTTTTCATTATGACTGAGCTATATGCTATACTAAACGCATTATGTCCTAGTCAGTACAACTAAAATGCAATTAAATGCCAAATTGTAACCTTGTTGCCTTGCAGGGTTGCCACCGGCAGGAAATGTTATTGCGCTGCTATGGCTTGCGGTCAATTGGCACGTGGATATAGGAATCGTTTAGTTGACAATTCGGCAGTGCGATGAATCCAGATATATATCAGATTTCATATAAGTTATACGAATTGCAACAACCTGACAACCCTGAAAACACAAATGTCTTGAAAGAGACTCGAACCATATCTGACGTATGGTACCCAGCCCAAATCGAAAAAACCTTCAAAATCCTTAAAACAAACCCCAATTACTAAGTAAAACATTCGTTTTGATAGGTAAAGAACAATTATATTACACGGTGTTTTGTATAGATTAAAAATAAAACAATTAAATGAAAAAAATTTGCACTTACCTTCCTACGACCCGATAAACTCGTTTATTAACTGATATAGTCACGAAAATAATTCGAATATGACATAACCCACGTCTACAACTGTCAATTGTCAATGATTTGAATGAATTTAACAGTTTTTTGATGATTTGTTTACAATTTGCAGGCAATTCCGCTTCCGATGCCCTTAAACGATGAAGAATGAAACACAGACTAAAATCAGACAACAACAAAAGGTGCCGAAAAGAACCAGTCAGGTCACAACTGGTTCCAACGAGAAGCGCCCGTCTGCCAACAAGCGGCATGTGTAAAAGAGGTGGGACCGTGATTGTAGATATAATCTACGGGTTTTTTTTTATTATTGTTTGTTTGAACAATAATTCAACATACATTTGTATTTGATTTTAATTAATCGTTGCTTATATGAATAAGAATTACTTCCTAGTACCCCTATGGAATTTTTCTGATGAACTGGATTTATTAGATAAGCACGTTTTCATTAATTTTTGACAAATATCTCACGGTATCAATAAAATGATTTACTTAATCACATTGTCAAAAAAATATTTGACGTTGGGCACACAAATAAAAAATACTTTAATTTATAAATTTACTTCGACTTTTTTATGGCCTACTTGTCTACTTACCTTGTTTCGGAAAGCACGTTTATTTAATGAAATTTGTATTTCATATATATATATAGATATATATCAAATGCATTTTTACGAAAACATCGTGACCGTGATGCAAGTGTCCATCACTAATTTGGAATCAAACAAAATCATCTGTAGCATCTAGGGCTGAAAAATCGAACTAGAATTTCCTGGGAGCGGAACCAGTAGTTATTAAAGGGAACTAAAATCTGATCGCGTCTTGAATTTGTACTGGGCTTATGTACAAATAATCGGAAAATTCATTAAAATTCGTTGAAGTAAAAAAGATTAACATAAAATTCGAATTGTTACATAAAGAACCACAATATTTTAAAACATTGATAACATTTCGAGAACTAGTGAAAAGATCCAGACAGAGCCAGCCCTGAACGCTCCGTTCAGTTCCAGTTCTGGTTCCGAATCTTGTGAACCCAAGGAATGGAACCAAAATATAAACATCTGTAGATTATAGGTTAAATTGTTTTATAATAACAAATGCAGCAAGTTTTCAATTAAGATGAGCAACCTGCTGAATTTCGCTCTGCGCCAGGGCGTCAATTCCATTAAGCGGCTTAGTCTTCAGAGTTTCAGGCTGACAGTGCCGGCTATTGTTACCAAGACGCCGGTTGGTTCCACCATAAAGAGGTTCTCCTCCCAAACTGCCCCCTTCGATGTGAGCACCACCGTCCCCAAGGATATAATACTCTTTAAATATGAGAACCCGCGATTCTACACGATGCTGAACTTTTTCGGGATCTGTCAGTTTGTTTTCTGGACGTATCTCTCACATTTCGCCTTTACGACGCTTAAAGATGCCCCGGTGGTGGAGAAACCCGGAGAGGATCTTAAGTGGTTCCAGCGCATTAATCTGGGCGAAAATAAGTACAGAAACGGCATCACAGCCTGCAGTTTCCTGATAGGTGAGCCAGTATAAGCTTTGATATCTCTGAAACCCATCTATAACTTTTCGAACCCCTTAGGATATGGCATTCTGTTTGCTGTCTGGATGTTTACCCTTCGTTCGGTGCGTTTTCTCATCTTAAGGAAAGGAGGTCAAAGCGTTTCATTTGTAACCTACGGACCTTTCAACCGGAATCGTATTATGACAGTGCCTTTGAAGTGTGTTTCCGCCGAGGAGTCCCGAAACTTGGCCAGGGTGCAGCTACCTATCAAGGTCAAGGGCAAGACACTGTACTACGTTTTGGATATGCGCGGCGAGTTCCGGAATCCCCAATTGTTTGACTATACGGCGGGTTTAAAGCGCCGCATTTAAACGCTTAGTTGTGTTATTTTGTAACTTATTATTTGTAAATAAAGATGTACACTAATTAAAATTAAACTCCGGCTTAGTAGATGGGTTCTGGTTTCTGGGTGAGGAGGAGTCCAAAACGCTTCTTGATGGTGAGCCTTTGACGGGAGTACTTATCCTCCGGCGAAAAGCGTGCTGGGTGAGCAGACAGAGTGGGGCGACCATCCTCAGTGCGTTTCTGGGAAATCAACAAGTTATGAGTTCAGAAGGTAAAAAATATAAGAATTATTAAGAACTTACCTTCAGGGTGTAGACACGGTCCCCGTTCTCGTTAATTGTGTACATCAGATACATTTTAAGTGGGGTTTTTGAGTTTCTTTCTGGAGTTAAAAGAAGTGGTAAATAAAACACGTGTGGCGTGCGTTGGAGTGTGTGACCGTATAGTCCAAAAATAAACCCTAAATAATCCAGATAAATGTAATTTCTGGGACCTTAGCGGTTTCTCAAACCTTTTTATAAAACTTAGTTGGGAATAAACTTATCGATTACTTTCCATCTCTAAAACTGATTTTATAAATATTATTTGGCGGACTTTCTTTAGCAATGTCGAATAAAGTGGATAAACTGCACAAACAGGCTTTACGAGAGCAACAGAAGCGAATTAAACCAGGAGAATGCATGAAGTATGTGCGTATGATTATAGATGCCGGATTTATGGGCATTCCTGTGGGTCAGGAGATGCTGCAACAATTAAATTCCACGGACTTGAAGTATGAAATCAAGAGCTTGCCGGTGAGCCACTGCATCCTGTGGGAACGCAATGTGGGCCAGCAGACTATTGCACTGGGAAGCAGCCCCACTGGCCTGGATGAAGCCTGGAAACGGGAGAATCAAGTGGTCCAGTGGCTATCCGAATCCAGTTTCCAAAAGGCTGTTAAGGATCAGAGTCTTGTTTGCCTGGGACCCAGGTTACAGGCCTCTTTTCCGGACTGCCAGTACACAATAGCCTTACCAAAACTTCGTCACAGCAAACACGGCAGTTCAGCATACCAGGATGCTTTGATAGAGATGCAATTGCTGCAGGAACTCCACATAGAGCAGCTAAATAAACCCGAGAGCCAGGACTTTTTGGCCCTTCTCCAGCGTTATACAAAAGCCATAGCTGAAGCTCCCTATAAAAAACAACGCAACGAAACGCTAGGTGGTTTCAAAAAGTACCTGGCCAACGACAAGAAGCAGTGCGTCAAAGTGGATCAGGGAAATGGTTATGGACGTCTTTGGCAGCAGCATCTGAATCGATTACCCATGGTCACGCTGGAGGTGGCCGAATCGATTATAGCCCAGTATCCCTGTCCTAAAAAGCTCATTGATCACTTCGCCAGTGATCCCACGGCTGTTCAAACTCTCGCCGATATGAAGATCAAGCGTTGCAATGGACCTCAACCTCTTCACACCGAAAGACGCATCGGAAATGTTCTCAGTAATAAGCTGTATACGTTGTACAATTCTAAGGATCCCAACACTCTGATCTAGGCCTAGAAACTACTATCTTTTAAATAAAAACAAATCACTTCTTAGCTTTAGAATCTGCTCATATATATTAGCTTCCTAAAGTATGTACAATTAGAATTAAATGTTAAAGTAAAAGCTAAATATTTTACATTATTCTTCTCATCGTATAAGGTATAATTTAAAAATCACAATGTTCCTATACACATAACTATGAATTCAATTAATTGTTGTTTGCACACCTGAAGAATTGATAATATGTCCGATCGAAAGCCGGAACTCTGTGAACATTGGATTGGATTGGGCGACGATGATGAGAGTGGTGAGTGAAAAACTGCAGTCCGTACTCTAAAGAGTTGCCAGAATCCGAGTGAATCCCAGGCAGGCGGAGACGATGGTCTGCCCAAGGCCCCAGATCATGGCGTATATGGGCGACATGGGCAGACTTGAGGCGCGATGCACGAAGGCGATGACCGCACTGCTGATGATGCCACTCGAGGCCGGCGACAGGAAACCCATGACCAGGATCAGGATCGAGAAGAATCGCCCAAACTTGTGTTTTCGCAGTGTGACGAAGGCCACGAGGGCGGCGCAGGTGTGGATGAAAATAGAGGAGAACAGGGCCCACAGAAAGACATGGTACCACATTTCGCGAAAGGTATTGAGACGCGCCTGCGACCGGAGACCCATCACATCGGCGATGGTGTCCAGTTCATCGGTGTCGTCGGAAAACATGGCTAAACCGTATCTAATGGAAGTTTACGTGGGATGCCTGAATACTAGTTGCTAGTTATTGCTTATCCGTTGGTCAGTTGAGTGTCCAGCCGCATGTCTGGTGGGGAGTCCTTTCTTATAGCATGTATCACCCGGAGTTCAGGGGTCTAATAAATAGAAGAATAGATCTATAAAAGTTGACCTTTTGGCATTTGTTTATACTCACGCCTACACATGTGTGCTATAGACCACACCCACAAAGCATTGGTCGTACTTTACAGCCGTAATCAATTTATAGTTCTTTCCAGTAGCTTGATCCTATATAACATGGTCTTAACCTCTGGTTAGTGCTATATTTTACCAATTGTTTGGTTTATTTTTATTTCGGTCAACAATCGATTGGACTTTCGTCACGGCACTCAATTTGCCTTTGTTTGGCGGCAGTGAATCCTTAATCCATTTTAAACATCAGGTTATTGGTCGCGAGCAGCCATTACTGCACATTTTGAGCAAAACAATGCACTTTTTGTTAATTTAATTAATTTTTTAGTGTTTTTGCCTGCGATTTACTATAGCAACGGGAATGGAACGCTTTGGGAATGGGCCAGTTCTGATAAGCAGTCAGCTGTGACTCATTTGGGAACTAGTTCTGGGAGTAATAATAGAACTTTATTAAATTGTTATTTAAAAAAACCGGCTATATAGGGTGACCTTATTATCAGAAAAGCATAAGTTTTTACATATACCAGCCAGTTAAACCTAATTTAATTTTAAAGCTGCTCAAGTTAAGCTTACTTATCGTTATCGAGCCATTGTAATCGAAGAACCAGTTCCTCAAGAACCATCTTAGCACAAGTGACAACTCTGCAACCAATCCATAAACAAAAAAAATTTTGTGTAAACTGAAAACAAAAGCAGAAGTTGAAAAGCAACTTTTTAGAATATATAATTTGGATCTTTTATGATTTGTTAGGTTTCTGTTTTGGAGAATGGGATGCTGAGGAGCCCCTGAACAGTGTAAGTCGTCCTGCTTCTATGACACATTTCTTCCGATGTACATATATGTAACTGCATCCATATATATATATACATACATATATGTATCCTACGCACTCTCGGCATTATATATATGTAAAGATATATGTGTGCACCGCCAATCTGAGAATCGGTTTAAGTTAAAGTTAAAGCCTCCAATTGGGCTACACACATATGTACATGGCTACATGTACGAATTGTATTTCCACCCAGCATATGCTTGCGAACCGAGATTAATTAAAGGTCCCCCATTGCAGACTTCATATACTTTGAGCCCCCACAAAACCAACGACGCATTTAATCAATGTTCTCCAACGGATTGCCGTGCAATCTGTCGTTTCCGAGCTGTCTCAGTGTTCCCAAAGACGAGATCGGTAATGAAGAGCTCCTGCCATCCAATATGGGGACTCGCGAGCCTGTTATACTCAATGTCTATGATATGGTATGGTTATCCCTATCTTTATCCGTATCCCTAGTTATATCCTATCTAAATATTGTTATTTTTGCAGTACTGGATTAACGAGTACACCACCTCTATTGGCCTGGGCGTATTCCACTCCGGCGTAGAAGCCTTTGGCACCGAGTTCGCCTACGGCGGTCATCCGTTCCCCTTCACGGGGGTCTTCGAGATCTCGCCGCGGGATCACGACGAGCTGGGCGATCAGTTCCAGTTTCGGCAAAGCATCCAAATCGGCTGCACCGACTTCACGTACGAGGAGGTGCGGCGGATCGTCGAGGAGCTGGGCAATCAGTTCCGGGGCGACCGGTACCATCTCATGAACAACAATTGCAACCACTTCTCGGGCTCACTAACTCAGGTGAGTTTGTATGGTTAACCTCAGCCTGTGAAGATCGGCAAACTTTCCATTGAAGTTGATGGCATTTGGGTGGTTCCGAAACCTTTAGAGATATGAAGACCACATTTGGGGTGTGCTGATTAATGATTCATCAATGTCAGATACCGTGAGTTACAACCTAAATATTGTGCCGTGAATCACCTTAATTAGGATCAACCCATCAAATTCTTTACTCGTCAGATTTTCAGATAAGGGTATGGAATATTTCTTGGTTGTTAATTTATTTTTCTGTAGCAAACGACCTTTGAGTTAGACTTAATTTGCGAAATAAACATTAGAGTGCAAGTGGAACCAAAATGTGGACTTAGAACCTGATTAACATATACAAATGGCAGGTAGCAAAACTTACACACAACCTTTTTGTACATTATAGATACTTTGCGGCCAAGAAATACCCAGCTGGGTCAATCGTTTAGCGCATTTCAGCTCCTGTGTGCCATTTCTACAAAGATGTTTGCCAAAGTAAGCCTTCTTAAGTCAAATAAAATCAAGCTTGTAATAATTAATCTATTCATCTCGTTTTATAGAGAATGGCTGACACCCAACGCCTTGCAGCAGAGCATTACCACAATCCAAGAACGCGAAGACTCCGACAACAGTCCCCTTTGAGACGTTACCTGACCGAGAATATGTCACTTGGCGACACACAAGCGATCATAGTTCACATCCAATTGCAGTCCTAAGACCAACATTGTTAATTTACACAGAGCGAAATGCCGGGTTACTCACGTCACGTCACATCAATTTCCAAGCCAACAATGCCCCCAAACAAAAAGCAACAACTATTATTAATAGACTTAAATTAGGCGATATACATACTTTCATAGAGCATACCTACATAGAATCATTATTATACATACATGCGAAGTGACTAAATTATTGGCTATTGTAATTTGTATTTGTAATATGACTATTCAGAATTAAGATATTATTAAGTGGCCGGTAAATTTAAGTAGCAGGCGCCGTTCAGCAGCA